GAGCAAAGATCCCAGAACCACACGGGGGGACCTGGTGAATGACCTGCAGAGAGCTGGGACCAAAGTAACAAAGGTCACCATCAGTAACACACTACAACGGCAGGGAATCAAATCCCGCAGTGCCAGACGTGTTCCGCTGCTGAAGCCAGTGCATGTCCAGGCCCGTCTGAAGTTTGCCAGAGAGCACATGGATGATACAGCAGAGGATTGGGAGAATGTCATGTGGTCAGATGAAACCAAAGTAGAACTTTTTGGTATAAACTCAACTCGTCGTGTTTGGAGGAAGACGAATACTGAGTTGCATCCCAAGAACACCATACCTACTGTGAAGCATGGGGGTGGAAACATCATGCTATGGGGCTGTTTTTCTGCACATCACATGTGCAGGTACATTGGTACAGCACATGTGAGTGAAATTCTTGTGTGCGAGCTTCACAAGCAACAGAGTTGTGCAAAATACAATAATGTAAACAAGCAAAATACAAGAATGGCTACATCTGAAACTAATAAATATATGTACAATATATAATAGTATATGCATTTCTGGATGTGTATACTAAATATTTTTCTACGTGTGTGTGTGTGTGTGTGTGTGTACACATATTTTACAAATTAAATAGAGTAAACAATAAATAAAATATATAAAAATATACAGAGTTGAGACATGTGCAAAACAGTGGCATTACTGTACAGTATGGAGTGCATAATGTTAAAGTTCCAGTAGTGAAGCTGAGGTGTCTATGACGTGTTCAGCAGTCTGATGGCCTGGTGGAAGAAGCTGTCTCTCAGTCTGCTGGTACGGGACCGGATGCTGCAGAACCTCCTTCCTGATGGAAGTAGTCTGAACAGTTTATGGCTGGGGTGACTGGAGTCCTTGATGATCCTCCCCGCTTTCCTCAGGCAGCGCTTCCTGTAGATGTCTTGGAGGGAGGGAAGCTCACCTCCAATTATCCGTTCAGAGCACCGCACTACTCGCTGGAGAGCTTTGCAGTTGTAGGCGGTGCTGTTGCCATACCAGGTGGTGATGCATCCAGTGAGGATGCTCTCAATGGCACAGTGATAGAAGGTCCTGAGGATGCGGGGGCTCATGCCGAATCTTTTCAGTCTCCTGAGAAAGAAGAGGCGCTGCTGCGCCTTCTTCACTGTTTTGTTTGTGTGTACTGACCACGTAAGATCCTCAGCCAGATGTACACCAAGGAACCGGAAGCTGCTCACTCTCTCCACAGCAGCGCCGTTGATGGTGATGGGGGTGTGTACTTCTCTGCACCTCCGGAAGTCCACTATCAACTCCTTTGTCTTTGCGACGTTGAGGGTGAGATGGTTGTCTTGACACCAGTGGGTCAGGGCGCTGACCTCCTCCCTGTAAGCCGTCTCATCACCATTGGTGATAAGACCCACCACTGTAGTGTCGTCCGCAAACTTCACAATGATGTTGGAGTTGTTAGTGGCTGTGCAGTCGTAGGTGTAGAGTGAGTATAGGAGAGGGCTCAGTACACACCCCTGTGGAGCACCAGTGTTCAGTGTGATGGGGGATGAGGTGATGCTGCCCAGTCTGACCACTTGGCGTCTGTCAGACAGGAAGCTAAGGATCCAGCTGCAGAGGGAGCTGCTCAGTCCTAGATCCTGCAGTTTCCTGTCCAGCTTCGAGGGAACGATGGTATTGAATGCTGAGCTGTAATCTACAAACAGCATTCTCACATACGTGTCTCTCTTCTCCAGGTGTGACAGGGCAGTGTGTAGTGTCAGGGCTATGGCATCATCAGTGGACCTGTTGTGGCGGTATGCGAACTGTAGAGGGTCCAGTGAGTCGGGTAGTGCAGAGCAGATGAAGTCCCTGACCAGCTTCTCGAAGCATTTGCTTACGATGGGGGTCAGGGCTACAGGTCGCCAGTCGTTCAATGAGGAGATGGTGGAGGATTTGGGTACAGGGACGATGGTGGCCATTTTGAAGCAGGCTGGGACTACAGACAGAGAGAGGGAAAGGTTGAAGATGTGTGTGAACACTCCAGCCAGCTGAGCCGCGCATGACTTGAGGACGCGGCCGGGAATCCCGTCCGGACCAGTAGCTTTGCGTGCGTTCACCTTCCTGAAGCACCTCCGCACATCCTCCTCAGACACAGTGTGCGCACTGACGTCATCCGTGGTGCGCACACTGTCCGGTCTCATGGTGTTGCTGTGTCGAATCATGCTATGGGGCTGTTTTTCTGCCAAGGGGACAGGAGGACTGATCCGTGTTAAGGACAGAATGAATGGGGCCATGTATCGTGAGATTTTGAGCCAAAACCTCCTTCCATCAGTGAGAACTTTGAAGATGAAACGAGGCTGGGTCTTCCAACATGACAATGATCCAAAACACACCGCCCGGGCAACAAAGGAGTGGCTCCGTAAGAAGCATTTGAAAGTCCTGGAGTGGCCTAGCCAGTCTCCAGACCTCAACCCCATAGAAAATCTGTGGCGGGAGTTGAAAGTCCGTGTTGCTCGGCGACAGCCCCAAAACATCACTGCTCTCGAGAAGATCTGCATGGAGGAATGGGCCAAAATACCAGCTACTGTGTGTGCAAACCTGGTAAAGACCTATAGTAAACGTTTGACCTCTGTTATTGCCAACAAAGGTTATGTTACAAAGTATTGAGTTGTATTTTTGTTATTGACCAAATACTTATTTTCACCCTGATTTTATTTTTTTTTTTTTTTTTTTTTTTTTTTTTTTTGCCTGTCCCGTTTGGCTCTTTTGCCATCAGAATTGTTGTCTAAAGGCAAAGAAAGATGCCCAACGGATTTACTTTACCAAATTGACCATCCCAGCCTTGCCGTAATGGTCCATTTGATTCACCTTTTATTGTTTATTTTATTTTCACTTACTGAATACGGGACAGACTTGACTGGGGGAAAGAAGGGGAGAAAGAAAGAGGGAAAGAGAAACAGCTGAGAAGAGGGACGGGGGAGAAGGGCAAAAAACAAAAACCAACAGAATGGGCAAGAAAAAAAAATGCATATATCAATCACCTGGATCACCTGCTGAGAAAGAAAAAAGAAAACAAGCAGAAGAGAACAAGAGTAATAGAATAAACAACATCACAATGATATATGGGAATATGACAGTAAATACTAAATATTAAACATTATTGTGCAGCACATAAGATCAACAGAACACAGTGTGCTTTGAGGTAGGAGCCAAAAAGGGTGTAGTTTGTGGGTGTGATCACCCGTGTGTACACCTGTGAGCATGGACGCGCTTGTTTTTTGTTTTTTAAAAGGTTCCTTCATGTAATGATCTGCTAGAGGGTGTGGGGGGGCCACAGCCCCGTCCTCCAGGGCATGAAGCAGGTATGGAGGAGATCAAAACTCCAGACATCCAGAGGCCCCCAGAACACAAGAGACCAAGGAAGACCAACAGAGGGGCAGCCGCGCCACTGTCCCAGAAAGAGCTGAGGAGAGTCCCAGATGAGGGCTCACTCAGCAGCCGCGGAGCAGAAGCCAGGGGGAGTTGCAGTGACGCGCCCGTGAGCTCCGCCGGCAGCCAGCCGTGCCTGAGTGACCGAGCCCCAGGCCGAGAGGCCGGGGGCACCCCACCTCCGAAGTGGCCCGAGCGAGCCCCAGGCTCCAGGCCCCGATAAGCGGCCGCCAAGGAGTGAGCCGGTGTGTACCTGGACGCCCACCCCCGGACACAAAGAACCACCAACGCACCGATGTCTGAGGGAGTCCGCCACTGGCAGGGGAAGTGGTGGTAGGGGGAGAGAGGCCTCCATACCTTGGAGGGCCTAAGATGTCCCCAGAGAGGTGGCGCCTGACACCCAACCTGACATATAGACACAGAAATACAGGCACACACATATACAAACATCCATTCCCACCCTCATGCTCTCATATACACTTACTCCACACTCAACCAACGTGGAGACAGACATAAAGAGACGCTGTACACACGATCACACTCCCCAAGCGTACTCTAAGCCCCGGGTCTAGGTACCCTTGCCCCTGGAGGGGGGAACTGCACCCAGACCCAGGTGGTGTTACCCTTTTCCCTGCGGTGGGGGGAGGCAGACCGCCCCGACTCCGCAGCAGCAGGGAGGCCCCACACTCCAGACCGCAGTCGGACGGCCAACTCCTCCTCCTAGCCCCCCCGCTCCAGCAGGTCGCAGAGAATGGGGGTGAGAGAAGACTCCAAACCTCCCTCCACCCGCTCATTGTAGTGTTGATGCATGTGTGTTCTAAGGTGCATTTAAAACCCAGGAGGGCATGGAGCTACCTGCCAGAGAATTCTTTACAAATCCTACCATGTGGATTCATGGATTTTTTTTTTCACATTCTGTCTCTCACAGTTGAAGTGTACCTCTGGTGCAAATTACTGACCTCTGTCATCATTTTAGGTGGGGGAACTTGCACAATCGGTGGCTGACTAAATACTTTTTTGCCCCACTGTATTGGTGTTTTTCTAACTATTAGAGGGCTCTGGGCTACTTCTTGTCAATCAGTACATAAAGTTGTATACGTGTTATCAACACTTAAACAGGTAGGGTTTGAGCCATGTTAAAATGGGACAGGTAGCTGATGTGATACCACTGCAAATTAGGCTGATATGTTTTCTGTTGTGTGGCTGTGATGGATATCAAGTGTGTTGAACACCAATTAGAAGGCTGGAGGTTTGATTCTTGAGTCATCAGCGCACATGTGAAAGTGTAAAAACCGAGCTACTAAACCCAAAATAGCCTCTCAATAAGTTCATGGGCATGTGATAAAGCATCTGCTTGCTTCTAAGAAAGTGTATGATTGTAAAATAAGATGAAAAACGCACTATAATATGTAAAGCTTTAGCAAGTGACTGACCATTATTTCTGTTTGGGGTTTGCTGTAGACATTTGCTCTACTTTATTGCCTGTTGGTTTTATTATTTCTGCTACTGTCACAATACAACATGATACAACATCGCAGATGCAGCATTGCCCCCTGAACCTCTGCTCCAAACCTCACCTGCAGCTGAGCCACAAACCACACAAAAAAACAACAGCAAAAAGCCAAGATAAAAAGGGGGGGAGGGGGGCTAAAAAAAGGCAAAAAAGTTGCATCTAATCTCTGCGATCTTCAGGGTTAGGCCACATGTTTTCATCAACATCACATCTGATGTCAGCCAAGTCGATGCACCTGGGATAAAACCGCCTGGTATGTCGGATCCACCCTTGGCAATCGTCAACTGTGATGTCCCTGGAGCCAGCAGTCATGTGGCTGATGGTCATAAACCTTCCACCGCCATGCAGAAAAGAACTCCTCTATGGGGTTGAGGAAAGGTGAATAGGGTGGAAGGAAGAGACTCACCAGTCTTGGGTGGACTTCAAACCATGTTGTTATTGCTTGCGAGTGATGGAAAGCCACATTGTCCCAGGTAATTACAAAGGTCCTCATGTTTTCACCCTCCTGACCCTGCTCTGGAACCAGGCGCTGGTGGAGATCATTGAGAAAGGCAAGCAAGCGCTCTGTATTATAGGGTCCAACCTGACATTTGTGAAGGAGTAATCCTGCATTTGCAATTGCTGCACACATGGTAATGTTTGCCCCTCTCTGTCCTGGCACATCAACTGTGGCCCTTTTACCAATCACATTCCGTCCACGTCGACGCCTTTTGGCCAGATTGAATCCTGCCTCATCGATGTATATGAATTCATGAGGGGCCTGGTTGGCCTCCAATTCCATAACTCTCTGAAACAAAGTTTATGTAAGTCATGTTAGTACTGTATACCATACTGTACTGTAACCTAGTATTGTGTAGGTTACCTACTTGCAAAGTGCAAAGCTTATAGAACTGGACATTGGATTGAATATACACTGTACCTGGACATATTGTCGTCGTAGCTCCTTGACCCTCTCACTGTTCCTCTCAAAGGGAACAGTGTAGAGCTGCTTCATCCGCACTCTATGTTTGGACAATGTCCGCGAAATGGTTGTGAGGCTGATTCTATCGATATTGTCGAATATCTCATGGTCCGCCACAATTCTGGTTTGTATTTCACGCAGTTTTATTGCATTATTTGCAGTAACCATTTCCACAATGGCAAGCTCCTGATCATTACTGAGGAGCTTTCCTCTTCCCCCAGAGGGTGGAAGACGTTGCATTCTTTAGAAAGACAGACAATTCAACATATGCATTACTGTATGACCATATTGACATGTCAAGTGAGAATAGGAACAATCCATGTAAAATGCAATACTTACCTGTTGGTTTGTTGAAAGGTGCGTATAATGGAGGCAACCGTTGACCGCCTCAAATTGGGCTGCACTCTTTCACCAGCCTCTCTTAGTGAAAGACCATGGTTGATTACATGGTCAATGATAGTGGCACGGATTTCATCACTGACTACTGTTCTTGCAGCCCTTGGAATGCCACCACCACGCATTCTTACACCTATACCTTGCCCTCTCCTTGGGCCTGCTCTTCTCTCTGGGCCCCTTGCTCTTACTCCTCCTCGACCAGACATTACAGTGTTTGTCTTTTTTTTGTTTCCAAAAACATCACTCCTCAAGGTCTTGCCTTATGAACCCCACTGAGTCTAAGCCAGAATGGAAGAAGGTGTGGTTGGCCCAATTTACCCAACATAAATCAGCTGTGTGTCAATTATTCAATTGTTTGTTTGTTTACAGCTGAGATATATTTTTGATATTGATATTGTTTTTGTACTGATATCATTGCAGGGGCAGAGGTTTTTATACTGTATCTACGGTTTGGAATATTGTTTTTGCTATTGTGGGATGTTGTGTGTTAACATTCGTAGATACTACAAGAACAGTCCATAGTTTTGTTGGGAGGTATAACTTGTCTGTTAAGAAAATGTAAGCATTGTGGAAATGTGTTCACTGACTGCATATTGGGTGAACACGACATGAAATGTGTGAATGGTATGGCCACAACAGACCGATCCTGTGCTAATTGTGTTTAGAGTTTTGCAAATGTGACAACTGTTTGGACAAACGCTTGTTAGCGACTGTAAAAAACTGTAATAGGCTGGTGTAAAAAATTGCTGCCACACCGCCCCCTCGGCCTGGGCTTCGAGGTTTCTGGTAGTTAGAATGATTCATTTAAACTAACATAATCATCCTGCTGCAACCAGGTTTCTGTGAGGCAGAGTAAATCAATTTGTTATACACACCATCCACTGATACACATACAATAGTAATGCTAATCTACTCTACTCTAGTCTTCTCCATTTGGCCACAGGTTCTCATCCACATCACATCTTATGTCATCTAGGGCAACACACCTAGGAAAGAATCTTCTGGCTGCCAGAATTGAAGGAGTTGAAAAATTGAAGGAGTAACACCTGTGTAGATGTTCATCTACAATGAGAATCAGCTGTGGCTGGTTAAACTGCATTTTTAGATTTAAAATATGTTTCAATAAAATATTGCTGTTGCATTTTGCTGTCTTTTTAAGTTTTGCATTGTGTTATTGTTTTGGCCATAAGTTTAACAGTTTTGAAAACAGTATGTAAGCACATGCAAAATGTCCTGTACGTACAAAGATTTTTGGCAGTTGTTGTGTCTGAGTGAGAAGATAATTCATGAAATTTGAGAGATGTAGTCATTGAATGCATTTTGTGCCAAAACAATGATAACTGGTCCTCAGTTTAGCCCACATAGACTTCTGTTGTGCTCACTGTGTGAGGAGTTTTGCAAACGTGACCTAAGTATTGAGAAATGTGTCCTAGCGTCTGTAAAAAAAACTGTAATAATCCACATTTCACTGTTTTACTCTTTGGTTCAGATGTGGATACTGTATTTTTCTTTCTTTGTGATTGTTTATGTTTAAGTTGTTTGCTGTTGGTTTTTAGTTTGTTTTTTGTCTTTTTGGGAGCTGACACAGTCTTTATGTAAATGGTCCCTAAGGACCCCAAAGCGCTTTACACATCCATTCACACACACATTCACACACTGGTATGTAGGAAGCTGTGTGCTATGGGAGATGGGAGATGGCCCACCTGATGGATGCACCTAGAGCCTGGAGAGAGAGAGACTGAGAGTCGCTTTCCCAGGACCTAGCATGGAAACTCATTCCCCACAAACACAAGTCTACTAAGGAGGGTGGAAATGCTTTTGTAGGAAGATCTAAGACTAACATGTGATTGGTTATCCCCTGAATGGCTCACCATTTTGTGTCAGTAACCAGGCTGGTAACTCTGACTCCCAGCCCACTAGCCTGTAGCAAAAACACTTACAATTTTGATTATTTATTAATTTGTTTGCACCAACAAAGTTACTCTCAGCACTGTCTGTAGTGTGTCCTTGAAAACAAACAAACAGAAAACAGAAAATAAAGTGAGAGCTACTTTCGGCTGCTGCTTTGCTATAAGGAACTCCCCGCACAAGTAACTCTGCATGCTTGATTTGAAAGAGTTTCACACCAGATGCATTTGGGTCTCTGGCTGGAATCAAACCAGAAACCTTTCTCTTAATATGTTTACAAATACATAATGGAAGGCACCAAAGGACAAACGTAGTGGCAGCTATGTCTGCATCATTATATCTGCAGCACATGGACAGTTTCTAGCAAAACAGGGAAGAAATCCAGCAAAGACCTGACACACAACCCAAGAGATGCATGTGTCAGTGGCAGGGAGGCTGTCAAGAAGCCAGATTTAAGGAAGGGAAAGTGGGAGAAAAGGCTTACCAGATTGGCCAAATTATCCAGGAACTGGACTAAAAATAAGTGGCAACCTGATGAAGTGATCCAAACTAGAAATGTTTGCTTCAAATCATCATGTATGGAGCAGGTTAGCAAAAAGGTGCAATATAGGAGGCTGGTGGAGGTGGAGTCAGTGGTTGAACAAAAACTCTGCTTTCAATAATGTGTACATATTTACAACACAGAGGTAGGAACTGACGACCCACAACCTTTCATTTTAAATGCTTAAATGGTTCACATATACAGTAGACTGTGACAAAATCACATCATGTTAGGGTCATGTTTGATCTCTTTCAGACTGCATCTGATGCTGCAACTGCAAATGTGCCTCAAGTATTTTTCATAAAACCAAACAAACGTATTACACTTGCCACTTGGATTGTGTATATTCTGGTGATTCTTAATTCCAAAGAAAATAAATGGACATTATCAGATCTGCTGTGTGGCTGTAGCCAAAGGCCTAACAGCACAAAACAATACAGCTCTGATTTACTCTGTGGTCCCCAATACCAGCACATACACAAAGAAGGCATTAATGCTCTCATGCATCTGTGCCAGAAGTTTAATTTGCATCTACATGATTTTAAAGACCATAAAAATGTGATGCTGGTGATACAGTAAAATTGGAAATTGAAAGAGGAGTGAAGAAATTAATGCAGCATAAATGGATTGAGTCTGTTTGTATGAGGTATCAGTGTGCACAGAGTATGCATTCAACCAGCAGCCCATTCGACATGGCATTTATTTGTTGACAGTAAGGTTAAATAGTATGGTTCCTACGTTTTACTTATTTATACTTAATTTAAAAATGTCATTATAAGCTGTGTGGCAGGCCAGTATAGGACCCAAATTCAGGACTCTCAGACGGAAAACCTGACTGACTGACAGATGGATGGAGGATGGGGAACAGGTGGGAACACAGCTGGGACTAATCTGACATAACGAGGCGGAGGGGAAGGAAAACTGATTACACTGAGCGCAGGACAAGGACTATCAAAATAAAACAGGAAACAAGAGACACGACAGATGAATGAACGTGAGTTTGACACAGTGACTGACAATGAAACACAGAGCTACAACCTAACAGAAGCTAAATGATCAAAAGTACAAGAAAAGCAAACATGACAAAAAAGGTATACACGAATGAAAAGAAAGTTACTGCATGACTTATAAATACAACCCAGGTCTTTGCTCTAAGGACTGTCACAGCCTCCCTATTTACTGCCTGCTTTAGGTAGGTGATCACTGATAAGACTGTGGAGCACTGCTTGTTTTCCCTTTCCTCGCTCGTCCCCTGAGATGCTAAATGCAGGGAAATGAGCAGCCAGAGCTGTATTTGATGTTCTAAGATTTGGGGAACAAATGGGAGCACTTTATCCTTGATGCACTCAGAGATTAACATGGCAAACATCAGACTTTGATGTATTAATGAAACATGTCTAAGTAGACGAATCCTGGTGGAAACATACATGCAAAACAATTTAACTTGTGGAACTTCTGCAACAATCGGTGCTGCTTTCATATTATCAGAACTATTTGGTGCATCTGGAAAGCATTCACAGCACTTCACTTCTGCTGCCTCCTGTCATTTTGCTGTCTTATTCCAGCATAAATTAAATTCATTTTTCACATCTGAATTCTACACACAACACTCCATAATCACAAAGTCAAAGAGAAGTTTTCTTGAAAAATAAAAAGCAAAATTTAACATGTACATAAGCATTCACAGCCTTTGCCATGACACTCAGAATAGAGCTCAGGTTCATCCTGCTTCCCCTCAGCATCTGTCAGATGTTGATTCCAATCTAGCTGTGGTAAATTCAGTGGATTGGACATGATTTGTCTATATAAGCTCCCACAGTTGATGTGAGAGCACAAGCCAAAGCATGAAGTTCAAGGAGTTGCCTGCAGACCTCTGAGAGAGGATTGTATTGAGGCATAAATCTGGGGAAGGTTACAGAAAAAATTACAGCAGAATTGAAGGTCCCGATGAGAACAGGGGCCTCCGTCTCTTCCAAGTGCTGGCTGCCCAGCCAATCTGAACAATCGCAGTAGTAGATTATGGATTACATTCATTTTTCACCTCTAAATTCTACACACGACACTCCATCATTGCAGACCGAACTAAGTTTCATTCATTCATTAAAAATAAAACACAAGAACGTATACACAAGAATTCCCCCCTTTTGCCATGACACTGAAAATTGGTGCATCCTGTTTCCACCGACCATTAGTCATGTTTCTTTAACTTGATTGGAGTTCATCTCTGGTCAATTCTACCAAATGATGTGGTGAAATGCATACATCTCCATACATATAAGTTCCCATATCTGTAAATGGAATATGTTAGGAACCACCAGGACTCTTCCTAGAGCTGGCCGACTGGTCAGTCTGCACTTTGGAAGGACTGTAATCATCAAAGTCACCTAGAACCCAATGGTTACTCAGACAGAGCTTCAACATTGCTCTGTAGAGACAGCAGAACCTTCTAGAAGGACATCCTTGATGACAACCTCCTTTAGTGCTCTGGACTTGGGACTGGGGTGAAGGTGAAGAACACAGCCAACATTACAAAGACAATGTTGTCAAATGGCCGAACCAAAGCCCAGTCTGACTGAACATTTCTCAGAGATCTGAACATGGTGTGCACCGACACTGCCCAGCAAATCTGCAATGGGAGCTTGAGAGGTCCTGCAAAGAAGAATGGCACAAACTGCCCCAAAAGAGGTGTGCTGAGCTTAAAGGACCATACTCAAGAAGACTTGAGGCTCTAATTGCAACAAAGTATTGAGGCTGTGAATATATGTGTACATGTTTTATTTTATTTATTTTGAGTAAATTTACAAGAATTTCAAGCAAACTTTTTTTTAACTTTGTCATTGTGAAATTTTGAGGTTAAAAGAGAATTTAATCTATTTTAAAATAAAGCTGTAACATAACAAAGTGGAACAAGTGAAGCTGCCTCCACATGCACTGTACTACACTACAACAAGCCACATCCAGCCATTTCCCTCTGCAATAGATAAAAAATACCGGCTTTATTGTCATTTACAATATACACCAGTTAGTGCATTACAGTTTTTCTCAAATGTTAAATCACAAAAGTCAATCCTGTAACCCAAATGACCAGTAGTCTAAACACATTTACTAAATGTAGCCACCATATTCCAGTACCATAAACACATGTCACATGAAGACACAATTCACAAAACACAACCCTCTGTACTCATAAATCTAAACACATTTTTCCTTGCTAAAACACATGTTGCAAAACAACTCTGCTCATATTCTCAAATGAAAGCCCATGTGATGCAAA